ATTGTTCCATCGTTCTGATATTTTGAAATCATTTTTTGATTTGCTTTGTAACGTGGAGGACTTCAAGCTTGTATGAAGATATAAAAACCTATTGATCTCTGCGTATTCCTATATCAACGGAAGGGATTTCTTGAACTGTTTATATAAAATAGTTCAATCGACTTTTTTAATATTTTAATATTTGGAAATCATCTTCGAAGACGTTTTCACAACATCGCCCACGTGACAACGACGTGATCATATTTAAACGGAACGCTGATCTTATATAAAAATTTCAGTTATCTGTTTGGATTAGTTGTGCTCTTATGTCCATCGTCTTTTCGTGTTGAATTTTTATATGTTCTAATGTTAATTATGTTTCAATGAAAATGTCCTGAAGATTGTCTAAAATAGACCGAAACGTCCGACGTTGACTTTATATTAACATTAATACAGCATAATTGCATATTAGGATTTTTGTTTGTTTTTTTCTGTATATTTTTCTTCACATTATACAATGTAAGAGATAGGTTCTTAGCGTAAAAAATCGATAATTTAAAAAAAAAATCAATAATCGATAAAGTCGATCAAAAATCAATAAATTTAACTTTTTTTCTTCCGATTTCATTCAAACTCGGTGTGTAGTTTAATTAATGCCTGTAAGATTTCACAGTTCTAGCATCACTCCTTCATCCCACTCCCGTAAGTTACTGACGAAAGCTGCTTATATGAAGACTCCGGAAATAAAAATGGATTGAATTAAACGTTATCTTTAAATACACTAAAATCTTTCCTTGAATATTCCCTGTTGAAATGCAGTGAGCGTCTTATACGCTTCTGCGGTGTTCATGCCGCTAAATATGGTGATAATGACAAGGCTTCATCTAAGAAGTTCTATATAAATTCATTCCTTAGTTCCATCTTTTCTGGCCTTCACAGGTTGCAGCTCGCCATTCCACGTACAGAATGTCTGCTCATACCCATTCTCTTCCTCTTCTTATTCCATTAGTAAGGAAGAAGTTCCACTCACACAATATATTCTCCAGAACTGTAACTTTATTTAACAGACTCTAGAAGGGATGCTTCCCCGATCACTATAGTCTTAGCCTCTTCAAAACTAGGATCAGACATTATCTCTCCTATAAAAATACATCCTATGCTGTCCTTTCCTTCTTCTTTTATAAATTCAGCTACCCTCCTTCTTGAAAGGTTCTCGAGTCTTGTATTGGTAAATAATACAATATAACTAATTAATTAGAACGACCCAAGGCCATAATAATGAGACATTAAGAAGCTACTTTCGCTGGTTTACAGAAGGCATGAATTTAAGCGAGCTACTAGGGTGGCATCTCGGTCCCACTCTTTCACTGTCAAAACGGTTAAATGTAACCGCCTCTTCTAACCAGCTTCTTCTCTCATACTTCCTGCTCGTGGAAGTACCTTCCCATTTCTCGCTTCCCCGCTAACTATATTCTTCAAATATTCAAGTTTAATGTCAATCGACATTTGATACCTTGATCTTGTTCCCCGTTTTTCTCTGATTCTTTCGCTCAAACACGCCTCTTTACTCTTGTTCTCAATCCTCTGTAACCCCTTGTTTGCTAGTGGCACTCCCGCCTTGCTTGGGATGAATTGCTTAAAAAAAATTAAAAGATTATACAAAAGATATGTTTACTAACCGTTGCGCGATATCAGATACTGTGAATTCAATGCGATTGAAAACAAAGCACATCGTCCTTTAAAATGATAGCTGAAAATAAATAAAACCTTTAACTTTTATGTAGAGGCTGTATTCTCTTCACAACCTGTGGTTATCATTAGACGTTAAATATGAAATTCGAATATTTCCTGTCTATATGTTGTGAGTCTTATATCCGATAAATATGACACGGGTGTCAGTAATTGCATTTGCGTATGCAATTATGTTGATTGGAATATATTTGCACAAACGAAAAGAAAAAAAACAAAACAAAAAAACAAAATGGCGGATAGATTTTAATATAATATTCATTTCAAGAGGTTTTATTTATTTATACAAGATTTGCTATCAACAGAGAAATACGTGTTTATGTAAACTGAGCTTATATCTTTTTTATTTTTCCTTACATACAACATCTGAAAGCACGTGCGAAATCCTGCCCTCGTCAGCCGTCAGCCAGGAGAGGTTACACAGTTTCGGTGGTTAAGGCGGTACTGACACCCCTGGTGCCACCAACAGCTTTTGCCACCGGACAGGATATTCTTTTTATTTGTGTAGACGCATATTTTATTTATACAGAAATATGTAGTATTAAATGCTCTCAAATTATGTACCCTGCGGAGTACGGGATCACAGCTCTCAACACGTTGCTATTGTGTTTCCTATAGCAAAGGAGTTTTTTTTTCTTCCAGGATGGAGTTGGTAGCTCAACTGGATTTTTAATTCAGAGTTGTCCTTCTCTTAGATGGGTTGCTAACAAGTCCGAAGTGCCTAGTCTGCCCTACTATTTCACTTATGTCTGGGTTAGAGAAGAGTTAATTTCTTACCTTTCCCAAGGGTATTTGCGCGAAAGTGAATGCAACAAACTCGACTGGAATTTGAACTCGGCTTGCCGATTTCTCGTTTCGATCTGTTAACGATTACACCCCAAAACACATCCAGTACTGGATATATGCCTGGGTACTTCATAAATAATTACTGGCTTATCAGCGTTCATGTGCAAGTAATCAGCTGTAATTTCTCCAGGGAGCCGAAACAAGTACACATGCAGGCGTACACCACACACCCCAAACACACGCACACACAGACATGCAAGAAGGCATATAGATATACACGTAGATATATACTATACATGCACACTGACATTTTTCTATATAAAGCTAAGTAAATATATACTGAACACACAGATGCAATATGTGGAACATATTGTAAAGCGTGATCTCACGACACTTTGGTGTGTGGTTTTAAATTGCTAAACTTCCCTCTACTGTTGACGCACCAAACATTGTTCTGCTTCTATATGCAGCATGCCTTCAAGACGTGGGCGATCATGGCACTCCACAACTTCCTGTACTTTCTAGGTCTTACTAAGGATTCTGTATTTGCTATCTCTCCTAATCCCCATTCTACCATCCATATTGCAAGATATGCATTGCTTTCATTCTTGCTTTCAATATATCCTGTGAGTGTCCGATTCTCTCAGCCTTCTTTCCTTATTCTATACCAAATAAATTTCGACTCTCCTTTTCTAATTTTAGGTATTGTTGTCCTTTTCGTTTCCATTTTCCTTAAAACGTCGAAGTGGCTCACAACTTAATGTCATGGTATTTCCAGTATTCTTCTGAAGACTCAGATTTCTGTGGCTTCAAGGTTATTCTTCATCCGTGAGGAGATTGTCGAGCATTCACTACCCGTATGGGATGTCCAATATCGCATAACAGTTCAACACTTATTTCTTTGTTTTTAGCAAGATTTTTCTGTTTCTTAATACATTGCTTAGCTTTTGGAAGACGTCTTTCACTATTCCAATGCTCCTTCGGATTTCGGTGCCGCATTTTCCGTCCTCTGTCAACCAGATATACTTAGTATAAATCTTAATGGGTTTTAACGTCGTTTGGCGTTACAAAAAAATGAAATTCGGCAACCATCGAACACTCTACATTAAAGAATTATTTTAGGAGACAAGATTCATAGTCATCATTCTACACTTTCCATTTTCTCTAAAACCTCGTCGTTGCGCACATGTTCGGTCTATGGCGTCCCCAGCATCCTTCTGTAGAACCACATTTATGTTACCTTAAGTCACTTCTTCATCTCTGAGGAGATTGTCCAGCATTCACTGTCATATAGAAGGATTGATATTACGTATCAGTTCAGTAATCTGTTCTTTGGAGCGAATTTTTTTCTGAGGATCTATTTTCTATGGCAAGCTAAAATGAAGTTACCACCTATAAATCTTGGTTGAAATTTCAATTGGAATTTCATTTGTCTTTTTCTGATTCCAAGTGTAAGCAAACGTTTTGGTTCCATTTTCCTTAAAACTTAGTTGTGGCTCATTTGCTTCCACTATGCATCCTTATGTTGAACCACTTTTCTGTTGTCTAATCGTCTCCTCTTCATCTATGAGAAGATTGTCCGCCATTCATTGCCATATAGTATGACCGAGATTTCATAATGGTTTAGCGCTCTTTCCAGTTTCTTAATACTTTGCTTAGCTTTTTGGAAGGCATCTTTCGCTTTCGGTTTATTACTCATTCCTGTGTTTGTAACAAGATTTTCCCGTTTCTTAATACTTTGCTTAGCTTTTGGAAGTCCATATTTCGTTTTCGGCTTATCCCTCATTTCTGTGTTTCTAACAAGATTTCCCGTTTCTTAATACTTTGCTTAGCCTTTGGAAGGCATCTTTCGCTTTCGGTTTATCACTCATATCTGTGTTTCTAACAAGATTTTCCCGTTTCTTAATTAATTGCTTAGCTTTTGGAAGGCATCTTTCGCTATTCCAATGCGTCTTCAGATTTTGGTGTCACATTTTTCGTCCTCTGTTAACCAGATATATTTAACATAGATTCTTAATGAAGCTTGTGTGGCACAAACATGCAATAAAATGAGACTCAGTGAGTATAGAAGTCTCTACATTAAATAATAACCTGTGAGGGGACATTTTTAGTCATCACTCTAGAAAATTCCTTAGTTTGGCACGAGGCCATGATAAATGAGATACCAGGAAGGATTGAATTCAGAAGAAGGCAGCTAGTCACCTACCTGACCATCTTGCGTAAATGGACGGTAGCGTATGGTAGGGAGATAAATGTTAGAATGGATAGGAAATTGTGGAGAGCTGTGATCGTCCACGTCCTGAAAAGGTGCAGGGTGGAAGATACCCAATTTTTCAGCATAAATCTAAAAGATGTAAGGACAAAGTCTTTTGTCAATTCCTGACATTTATCCCTTTTCTGCAATCCGTCTCTCACACATGCATATTGAAGCAAACTCGCTCAAGTTATATTAATTTGTGGAAATCAACAGGGGCATGTAGAGGCCCATGAACCTGCTTAGTCAGCCCACAAGGTGAATATAAATTGTGGCCTTATAAATTTTTCAGCAATGCTTTGTTGTTTCATGGCCCGTAGCCGATTGTTTAGGGCAATGGTTGTCAAACTTTTATGGCCACTGTGCCCTTTTCCCCATATACTAGAATATCATAACCCCCCCCCCCAACACACACACTGTTCTGCTTTCCAGGATTTTCTGACTCAGAAGGTGCATTCTAAATAATCTCTCTATATATAAAACAGAATGTTTGCGTGTCTGTCTGTCTATCAGTGTGATACCCTTTCACTCATGATCCATCCAGCCGATTTTGACCAAACTTGGCACATACATTGTACAATGTAAGAGATAGGTTCTTAGCGTAAAAAAAATCGATAATTTTTAAAATATCAGTAATCGATAAAGCCGATCAAAATCAACTTTTTTTTCTTCGATTTTGTTCAAACTCTGTTTGTAGGTTACTTACATCATGCCAAGCTCAATGATTTTTTTTATTATTATTTTTATTTCTACACCACTCCGTTTAGCGAAAAACCGCGAAAAAACCAAAGATCGATTTCAACACTAATTGATTTCAACATAAATTTTAAACTCAAAAGATGCTTAATTTTCCAGCAACTCAATACAAACGTTACTCAATTGTAGCCAACAATAAGTTGGTTATTTAACAGTCATTTAACTTGATAATAAAACCCGCGTAAATTGCGAAAAATGGCGATTTTTACTGGTATCTTTCTCTTTTTTAGTTTTTGCTGATCTTTATAAGTGTATCCTCTTTTCACCACTGGTATCACACTGATAAATTGAATTTCAAAATAATTGTGGTCTGAAGTGGGTCTTCATGTTGCCTGTTTTACCCATTCATGTCCTCAGCTAACTTTGATTGAATAAATACAGACTACTTCTGTACAGTATTTACATTAGTCGGACTATTGTCCTCATCTTTGTCGCCATATTTGTCACAACGTTTCGGCCGTTGTACGCTCCGGCCTTCTTCAGGTGGTTGGAATTTCGAACTGAACCCTTTATTTCGATCACTGGGGTATACAGTGGATAAAGGCGTTGGTTAGATCCAGTAACAGACCCAAAGAAGGTGAGTTCAATTCCTGGTTAAGGCAGTGAAGAACTTTCAGAGGGAAAATTAGCAGGAGATAACTGATAACTGACATCCATCAAACATGGCACGTGGAACTAGAACAGTTTACCCCAGTGATCGAAATAAAGGGTTCAGTTCGAAATTCCAACCACCTGAAGAAGGCCGGAGCGTACAACGGCCGAAACGTTGTGACAAATATGGCGACAAAGATGAGGACAATAGTCCGACTAATGTAAATACTGTAAATAATACCTCATCTCAGAAATATAGACAGACTACTTCTGTTATATCAGTAACTGCAGCAATTCAAAATGTTTTTTTAATGAAAGTATTTTAAAATAATTGAAGAAGATAGACACTATTACATCTAAACATGATGCTGTTTTTGCTGCATTCTAATTGAACGCTTTTTTTTCTGATCGAGCTGGCTGCTAATATGTATATATTATTGAAAATCTTCATATCTTTCCCATATCAGTACATATGCATTTCCATAGATTTTTTATAGAGGAATTACACAATATTAATATCAGAAGAAAACGCTGATGACTTTTTAAAACTGGAATATATGTAAAGTAATTTTTAAAAAATTTGTAACTAATTATTACATTTTTGAGAGCCTTTCTCAGACGTTGTGTTGAGGAGGAATATTCAGCAAATGTTACTTCAACTTTGTTGTTTTCAAATTATCATTTGACAAAGCGTTGCAATATATACTTTCTTCTTCGCTGGTGATGATGGATGTAAATCCATATTGAATACAAGATTTATCATATGTAGCTTCCCTATGCCTTGTTTACAAATAAATACCTGATATTTGTTCTGAGGAACTTTTCTCTATGGTATCTTGACATTATGAATTTAAGAGCAATACCAGATTAGCCACAAGGTACCATCCTTTTACAGTAGAATTGGCAAGACGTAATTGCGGAGTTCTTTACTAGTAGTTTCTCGCACTTCTCACTTGCAGAACTCTCGTCCGGTTTCTTGTTTTCCAGTCCGAAAAAATTTTTTTAAATGCAATGTCGATCATTATCTACTATCTTCCTGATTACTCTTCTATTGTTCTCGCTCCTTGATAATGTCTCCGTTTTCTAAATTATTTTAATATCCAGTAAGCCATTGTAGCTTAGAGGCTTTGTTGCCTTGTTTCGGGTAAATCCGATGTAACCGTAAATTCTATGCTAACAGTTTTTACTCTCGCACTTCTCGCTTATGGAACTCTCATCCAGGCTTCTTGCTTTCCACTCAAGTTTGCTCTTCAAAAATTTAAATAAAATATCAATCGTTATTTTCTGTCTTCTTAATTCCTGTTCTTTTATTTTTCATTCTCCTTAATAATGTTTTTCTTTTTCCCATATTCTCTCACAGTCAGTAAACTCCCTTGGAATTTAGTATCTTTATTGTCTTGCTTGGAATTAAATGATTATATATATATATATATATTTATGAATGTCTGATTGAATAAATTACAGACATTATGTCTGCTAATTTTTAATAAAATCCGTTCATAGTCACGAATAACCTTCCGTGTATTGACGTTAAAGGATGAGAGAAATGTGCTATAGCTGTTTAAATTTCTTTTATTTTAATTTCCTAAGTACTTTCGATCCTTTTCAAGGATCATCTTCAGGGATGCAAGTGGTACAAAATTATATGTTGTTCATTAGTATAAGTATTTGTACAAAGATGTTCGTTGTTATCCATTACGGTTATTTTTTCGTTATGCTTTCAAAAGCAAAACGCTTGACTGTGTGCTGAGGGTTCATTAGAACGTGAAAAAATGATCCATGATGGAATTATGAAATTTTGCATACGATACTTTTGCATATTTGCACCCCTGCCTAAATACACAAATTATATATATAGCCGAATTTCATATGGAAGTCGTCAACGAGATTTTCGCCAATTATCAAGCGGGTGGTCAATTAGACGTTTCGCATTCTGGCGTTATCTATTCCCGATAAAATAATTTCCCCACCACAGCCAGCTTTGACACAAAACGAAACTTCCAAACGACCTTATGGTTTGGTCTTTTGTTTTTGTAACTTTGTGTGGTCCAAATGAACATTTTGCGACACAGTCAATGTTTATCTATTTAGAATTCTGTCTCTGAGGTTATTTGGCCAACCTGGAATTTCCACCCGCCCCGTAACCTAAATCAGATTAATTCCAGTATCTTCCTTTTTACCTTCTCGACAATGGAAAATAAATCTTTTACCATTTTTCCTTGTCAGAAAAATAACACCGCTTAGTGTCCTTTTCGTGATGGCTTCTTATCACCTAATTTTAATTCTCGCCTTTCTTTTTTTTTTCTTTACTTTTTCTTTTCTTCTTTCTCCATTTTAGCAAGCCAAATAGTTTCACAATTATATGTTTTTATTATTTTTAAATTAAATTATTTTTATTTTTTTATTATTTACCTAAAGAGGACTATATATATCTATATATATATATAATGTATATATATGTGTGTTTGTGTATGTTTGTGTGTGTGCAGTGATAGGATTCAACGTGTTCACAATTTGAAGAATTCTACTAGGGAAGTCTATCTGAGAAGTTGTTGGGTTATCATTCAGGACAGTGACCCTAAGTTTAGTACAAATTTAGCGACTACATAGTTGGGGACAAATAGGACTGTTATTTTCATGACCAGTTAACAGTACACACTTTAATCGCATAGAACATTTGCGGAGACATTTGAAGCTGAGGGTAACACAAAGTAATCATCAGATTCTTCTTTTTTTTCTCAAAATGGCCCCACTCAAGGTAGTGGATTACAAAGTAAAAGGTACAGACTACGACAGTCGTCCTCAACCTTTTTTTTTACACTATTCACCCTTTTCACCATGTGCCAGGATGCCATTCCCCTCTTTCCAAGAGTGTCTGACTTAAAAGATTCATTTCAAAGAATATGCACATATTATTGTAAATCTCCATTCTTTGTATATATACATTTACATGGATTATTTTTATAGGGGAGCTTTGTAAATGTAATAACAATAGGAAATAAGGGATTTTAAAAATTGAATACTTGTAAAGTAATTTATTTAAATTAACTAATTAGGAAATAAATAAACTGAAGCGTACTTCAATAAATAAAATGTACACTAGAACACCAAGGTGGTGTAAACAAAATTCTATAAATAAAAAGCAAGAAAAAGTAAGAGATTTTTCCCTTTCCCACTAAAACCATGCAGTCACCCCACCCCTAGGAGAGAACCCTGCCTGTAAGACTCCTACACTTTGTCTCATAGGACAAATAAATGTTTTAAAACTGCATTTTAGATTTTAATTGTTTTGTTTCTTGGTTAAATGCGTTTTTATAAATGTCATTCCTGATTTCTTAAGATTTCTTGATAATTCTTACCTTTCTGTTCATCAGATCTGCCTAAAGAACATCTGATTAGGACATATCAAAATTTGAGGCCTCGTATTGAAGCAGTTATCGAATAAACGGCGATTTTGTGCATCACGAAGAATCTCACTATTATTCATTCAGAAAGTTCTGTCATAACATGCGTCTTTAGCTAAATACATGCAAGTGTCTTCAAAGAACTAAGCAACCCTATGAAAGTCTCAATTTCCATCCAATGTAGCTCTACATTTATCATTAAGAATCAGTTTTCAGGTACTTCTTCACCCAACATTTGCTGTGGTATCTGTGATGTTAAAACTGTTAGTTTGGTTGTTTTTATGACTTTAGACAATGTCCTTTCTTTTTCTTTCTGTTGGCTCTGGCGAACTGTTCAATTAAGAGGGCCTGCGTGTGTACAGTGAAAATTAGCGTTTAATTTTTACCGAGGCTCATATACCGGAAAGAAATATGCAAACACAAAGCTATCACAAATACGCAGCAAATTCTCTCTCTCTCTCGCTGTCTCTCTCTCTTACTCTCTTTTTCACTCTCACCTTTTTCCCTCTCTCTCCCTCTCTCTCTCGCACTGTCTTTTTCTCTATCTTTCTTCTTCTCTTTTTCCTTCACTCTCTTCACCTCTCTCTCTCTCTCTTCCACCGTCTCTCTCTCTTGCTCTCCCCTCTTTCTTTCGCTCTCACTCTCGATCTCTTTTTCTTTTTCACTCTCACTTTCTCTCCCTAGCTCTCCCCGTCTTCCTTTCCCTCCCTCTCCCCTTTCTTGCGCTCTCTCTTCCTCCCTCTCTTTCTTCTCCCTCCCTCGTTCTCTCTCCCCTCTCTCTTTACCTCCCTCTCTTGCTCTCCCCACTTTCTTTTTCTCTCACTCTCGATCTCTTTCTCTTTTTCACTTTCATCCCTTTCTCTCCCTAGCACTCTTACTCTCTCTCTCTCGCCCTCCCTCTCCCTCCTCTCTCGCTCTCTTTCTCCCTCTCTTTCGTCTCCCCCCTCCCTCCCTCTCTCTACCTCTCTTTCTTTCCCTCCTTCTCTTGCTCTCCCCTCTTTCTTTCTCTCTAACTCGATCACTTTCTCTTTTACGCTCTCATTTCTTTCTCTCCCCAGCAGTCTTACTTTCTCTCGCCCTCCCTCTCCCTCCTCTCTTTCTCCTTCTCTTTCTTCTCCCTCCCTCACTCACTCTCTCTACCTCTCTTTCTTTTCCTCCCTCTTTCTTTCTCTCTCACTCTCGATCTCTTTTTCACTCTCATTTCTTTCTCTCCCTAGCACTCTTACTCTCTCTCTCTCCCTCCCTCTCTCCTCTCTCTTTCTCCCTCTCTTTCTTCTTCTCCCTTCCTCGCTCTCTCATTTCTCCACACTCTCCTGCTCTCCCCCCTTTCTCTTGCTCTCACTCACGTCCTCTCTCTATGTCTTATAAGTGCGTAAGTATGCGTGAGCATGTGCGTGTGTTTCTTATTTTCTGCTCTTCTGAAACCGTGTCTGTAAGTAACTGGCATAATGTTATGGAAACCTGCACCCTAGTGGGTGGTGCTAATGTTGGTCTGATGGGTTGCGCGGGTAGAAAGGGGGAGAGGAACGTCCTCATCCTCGTCACCATTATCTGCAAAGCCTTCTCATCAACAACAACAACACTTATAATGTCATCGGCTCTGCATGTATCCCATAATGCCTCACTACCTCTATTCGCTAAAACCGCCACCATTATCAATCTTCAGTATTCCATGGAAATGCTTTCTTTTTCTTTTTCTTTTCTTTTTGTTTTGTTAATATTTTCTCTGTCTCTCTTCTTTTTCGCAGCGACTATCAGAACTGAGTTTATCATCATCATCATCATCATCATCATCATCATCATCATCATGTGTGTATATATATATATATATATATATATACATATAAAAGTGAACATAGAAGTCAACACTTGGAGGCGACAGTCTGTTTCATGCTATATGCAATCGTCAGGCCACAAAAAAATAAGTAAATAAATAAATAAATAAAATAAGAAACAAAAAATAAAATTAAATAAAAACAAGTAAAATAATTTAACCCAAATAAATAGATAAACGACTTCCGGTAAAATAACCGCCATAATAGACTACCCACAATGCACCACTGACCCGTATATGTATAAATAGCCGAGAAAAATAACAGCACACGTGGCCTGACGATTGCATATAGCATGAAACACACTTTCGCCTCTAAGTGTTGACTTCTATGTTCACTTTTATATTTACACACGCTCTATCTCTGATATTGAGCACTTTATCCCATAAATATAGCACACCTTAAGACTATATATATATATATATATATAATAGGTCATCCCATAAGTTCTGTCCGAATTTTGAATAAAGAAAACAAGTGACCAAATGTTACATTAAATTACAGATTCAATCAACAATGTATTTTCCCTGATTATCTATGATTTTCTTCCATCTATTAACAAGCTTACTAATTCCATTACTGTAAAATTCTTTTGGCTTTGATTCGAAGAACTCACAAATGTCAGTTTTAAACTCTTCCTGTGTTACAAAAGCTGTTTCTTCCAAATGATTCTGTAAGCTACGAAACAAATGGTAGTCTGAAGGAGCAAGATCGGGAGAATAAGGTGGGTGAAGAATTTTCTCCCAACCAAGTTCTTCGATCTTTTGTGACGTGATTCTTGCTGTGTGGGGTCACGTATTGTCCTAATGAAACATCACCCGTTTCGATTCACGAGAGCAGGTCTTTTTTCCTCAAAGCTCCTTAGCAATGTTTATGTTTCTAACTCTTCCACACCGAGTAACCCCTTGGGATGAAATCGATTAAAAACAAAAATAAATAAACTCTCCAACCTCTTTCCTGCAGACAAAATATCGCACTTCTTTCGCTATTTATATGGTAAATGTTCCGACAAGAAACTTTCTTTGGTTCCACCAGTTCAGACATTTATAGCTAATAGCCACCATGTCATGTACACGAGGAAAAAGAACATTGATATCGTATTCCATCATAAAAAAAACGTAAATTTTATGCTGACATCTTCTTTCCAAGAACCATTACTTGTGGAATATATTTCCGAGAGTATACGTCGGCGTTCCTAAAAAAATACTTAGCCACTTACAGGCAATCATTCTTGTCGGCACCCGCTCGCATCCGAGCATTGGGATCAATCATCCTCTCGACCTATTTCCTTCCTCTGGTGGCGGTGGTGGAGATGGCTCTGAATCAAAGAGTGTTTGACCAGGCATGAATTTCATTTTGGTGACAACTCTACACGACGGAGAAGCTCACATACTTGGCCAGAAACGTCACCCTCGCGGCTCAAAGATGATTGAGTTAGGCGAGATCTGTTAAATCTGGTTGCATCGGGCTGCCGGATACTTGGTCTGTCTTGATCCGCCTTTGTTATGCAAGCCTCACTGAACTTGAAGGTACACTCTAAATGAATGTGTTAAGGGGTCCACCCCTTTTTCATACAAGTGGATTCGCCAAGTGTGTACTTGTACTGCTGCCGGTGAATACCCGGAAGAAGAGTGATACAGTGATACAGTGAGAGAGTGAGAGTGTGAGGTAACCGCTTTGTAGGAGTCACAGTTGCGAGCACGTAGACTCAGAAGGAAGTCATACTTCGATACTGAATTTCCCAGACTATATATATATTATTATTGCTACTAACCGCATTTCTGGATCTACTAACCGTATTATCAATTGTATTATTACGTCAATACATTTATTTGCTATATTTCATTCTTGCGTTTGTCATTCATTTGAGACCGGATTTGATCCCGGAATCCACAACAGAATGCAATTTCGCATCTTCAGCAACTTATCAGTTTTTCCCAATCTCTCTGGCCTTACCTAACTCACAAAAATTGCTGCGGGTTTTCCATGTTTTCCAAAGCTTTAATAAGGGTTGATGAAATTTTATTGATTGTTCTCTTAATGTCGTTTTTCAGTGTGTAATAGTCGACACAGGCACGCATCCGGGCATCAGGATTGTCACCCTTTCTCTTCTTATTTCTGTTACTCCCCTCTGGTGGTAGAGATGGTTGTGAAGGTCTAGCCTACTCTTGAAGAGTCGTCAGCAAGAGTCAGATAGGAGTGTGAGTCGGGCCCTCCTCAGAGCTGGTCGCAGATCCTCTTCACGTTGACGGTTGATGTGTGGTAGAAAGCGAAGTCGTAGAAAGTTTGACGATACCATTCGGGTGAATTTCATTTTGGTGAACAACCCTGTGTGAAGAAGAAGCCCACAACGCTTTGCGAGAAGCGCCTCCCTTGAGGCTCAAAAAGGATTGAGACAGGCGAGATCTGGCAAATCAGGTTGCATCGGGGTCTGTAATGATCCACCTTGGTTACCCCAGGCCGACTTTCGCTTTCAGGTCAAAATTCTAGCTTGTTTCGCTGTTGAGATCATTCATAACACACGCCACATTTATCATTACCATTTCACAATTAGATTCTACGTTGAATTTGTTGAATTTTATTATAAAAAGAAGTCAGTTTACAGATAACAAATTAAAGAAAGCTGTGGAGAGCCATGGAAAGCACACAACATTAAAAAAAATTATTGAAAAAATTTAATCCACTACCTTTCCCAAGAAGTCATGTCAATTCACAGATAATAAAGAAAAGGATCCTACGGAATCTGGCATTTAAAAATTACGATGAAGTCAATAAAAAATCACTCCATTATCTTTTCCAAAAAAGCATTGCAATAAACAGATAATAGCGAAAAGGACGTTGTGGAGAGCAATCATTGTCTTCGTCCTAAACTGATATGACATTATGGAGATGACAACGGGAAACAAGTACATTCTCTTTCGCAACTGTCATGAAATACAAAGAGAATAAAGAAATGTAAGTTGTAGAGAGCATTGCTTGCCCCCATCTTGAATAGATGTGGTATAAAAATACAAAGAGAAGTGAAAACAACTCCACAATCTTTCCCAAGAGAACTTGCCCATTCACGGATAATGAATAAAGGGACGTTGAAGAGATATAGCATTATCAAATTATACAGAAAACAACTTGAAACCACTCCACTATCTTTCCCAATAAAATCATGTCAGTTCATGATTGATAAAGAAAAGTACGCCGTGGAGAGTAATGATTGCCTACCTGAAAACAACGCTCTTTTTCCCAAATAAGTCATGGTAACTCATAGGTAATAAAGAAAAGGCAGTTGTGGAGAGTCAATATCGCCTACGTCTTGAACAAATAGAGAATAAAAAAAAATTACTTGGAAGGCAACAGGAAGACCCGGCAATTGTCTTTCGATAAAAGTCATGCCAATTCATAGATAATAAAGAAGAGTAAGTGGTGAAGAATCATGTATATACATATATCAGTACAATGATATTTTAAGGCTGGAAAAGAAATGTATGTATGAGAATAGGTTACCTCATCATTGTTTGTCATCCTGCAAATCCCCATGATACCCACCTCGCCATCCGTCTTTGTACACTCTCATAATAACCTAATTTAGTAACCCTCTAGCTTGAGTGGCTCTTGGGCATTGTATTGAATGAACAATTGTATATACAAAAAAATGTAATAGCAGTATAGTTAAGTGAACCGGCTATCAGAGAGACTGAGGGCTAGACAAATTTATAAAAAGAGTTTTATCACATATTGGGGTCGGTGTTCGGGATCAGGTGAAATTACTATTTCTAAAGTTTATTTTTTGAACTAGCAGTATAACCCGTCTTCGACCGGGTCTTACATTACTGGGAATTTTAACCGTTCAATTGGAGCAGTTTAAATTTAAAAACAGCCAACACGGAAATCTATATTAGCAACAACAATTGGTTGCAACTGTGGCACATCTCCAAATGGTGGTGGTGATGGTGGTGGGGAGATTTAACAATTTGAAGGGGGACCCTTGAAAAGGGCCGTTTTGGCGTTCTCAGTCTTGTTTCAGGCTCACGTGCAGCAGCAGTTGAAGAGGCCTTTCTCCTCAGCCGTTGAGTCCTTTGGTCTTCATTTTCAGCCCCGCGCGCAGAAGCGATCGGATGAAAACGGTGGAAACTCATGAACAACATCCGATCACACACACACACACACACACACACACACACACACACACACACACACACACACACACACACATTTTCAGAATTATAGATATAGATATTATTGTAATAATTTAAACTATTTATTTTTATGGAGATTTTTATGAAAGATATATATCCAAGAACAGATAGTAAATAGTGAAACATTGCTGAGAGGAAGTAGTGGAGAGCCATTGTCGCCAACAATGTGAACTCAAAACCGGCACTGAAGAATTATCTATCCAGCAAAAAACAAAGAATCATCGAAATCGGATAAAAACTGAAGAAACGAATAAACATCCGATCACACATACACACACACATTTTGAGAATAATATATATAGATAAGCAAGCTTACCAAACTTGAAAGATTGTAATGCTCTCTTTCTTTTAGCCTTGTGCCATACTAAGTAAAGATTAGTAAATGTCGAGGAAAAAAAACACTCATGCAAATGT